TGTATGCGCTCAGCTACGCGTGGATACTATTAACACTAGCATTGGTTGGGTGCTGGGCGCCAGACTCACGTTTTGGTCTGGATTGGTAGAAGTGATGTCAATGAATCTACTGTGTAGAAACCTGTATACAGGATGTCAGCGCAGAAGTCTGGAGCGAGCAGAGAGTTGTGTACTTGTTCCAGAAAAACCTGTCATCAGCCTAGCCACGCCGGTTAGGCACGACAGGGACGCGAGATGAAAGTATGAGTACTCACTATCTCCCAAAGAGACCTGTCCCCATCCTGCTGGATAGTAGCCCATTGCGCCTGCAATCTCCGCGTGATATCCCAAGCGTAGCTAAAGAAGAAGTTGCCGCCCTTCAAATGCGACTGGACGAGTGCCAGGAGATGCGACTCGACAGTGTTGGGCGGGTGCTGCACCGACACGTCTGGGTTCAGCGGCAGGATGTCGTACTCGGTGGCACGGTATATGTTCTGCCTCATGATATGCCCGCGGAGCTCACGACCCGTTATGACGATGATATATTCTGCTGCACGCACGGTCAGGATGACGCGAAATTGTGGCGGGGGACTACGTACACATAGCGAGTGATATCATTCCATATATCCCATATATTGTCTTGGCGGAACGTTCAGCAGTAACGGGTACCGGAGTATTAGGTGCTAGACAGGTATGAGCCTCGGAAGGCATTATGCAATGAGAGCGGACCGTACCATTGAGCACGATATCTCCAGAATTCCGGTATATGGTCAGAGACCGAGCCCCCACCGGTTCGGCGGGAACGAACGTGTACGTCTCATTCCCGTCGCTATAGCTGTGTACGGGCGTGAGCGCGAGGAGCCGCCTAGAGCAAGGAATGCGTACAGGGTGAGCCTTTGGTGCAAAGACTTCATGGTGGCCGGCGGATGCAAGATGGGAGAGCAAGGGTAAGATGATGCACGCTGCGTATACGCCAACGCGCGAGGGCGCAGGGAGGGGCAGCGCAGCGCGCCCGCGGCCCCGCGCCGGGGCATCCGCCACACGCGCGCTTGAGGTGCAAGGCAACCAGGATTGCTTCGCCTGGTTCGCGCCCGACCACGACAGACCATGGTGAAGCTCACGCCCGAGCTCATCGAGTCCGTGCCCTCGCAGCTCAACCCGATCAAGGAGCGGCAGCTCGATCTCAGAGGTGCGTTGCTGTCTCGCGCGAGATGCGTCCAGTATGGCTGAAGGTGCGCGGCCTGCAGGGTACACCATCCCCGCCATCGAAAATCTTGGTATCACCAAGGTATGCCTCCTGTTCGTCGAGTGAAGCCTCGCGTATCTGACAAGAGGTGCCCAGGACCAAAATGACGCGATAGACTTCACCGACAACTCCATCATCGTGCTCGGGAACATACCCCTCCTCCGCCGTCTCCGCACTCTCCTCCTCGCGAACAACCGAATATCCTCCATCTCCGCTTCCCTACACCTCTCTGTTCCCAACCTCACAACCCTCGTTCTCACCAACAACAACCTTGTGGAACTCGGAGACCTTGAACCGCTCAAGGACGTCAAGTCCCTACAGTACCTCTCCCTACTCGGCAACCCCGTACGAGAGAAGAGATATTACCGCGAATGGCTCGCGTGGCGTATCCCGAACTTGAGAGTGTTGGATTTCCAGCGGATTAGGGACAAGGTGTGTCCCACTCAGTGCTGAATTTCGAACGCTCCTCACATCGCCCTCCTACTTGTAGGAGAGACAAGCGGCGCGTGCGCTCTTCCTCACTGCAGACAACCTCCCCACCCAACTCGCAACCACTCTCTCACAGACCGTTTCGACACACTCGTCAAAACCGCCCGTCACATCGGACGAGCCGAAGCCCGTGGTGCAGCCCGGCAAGGCTGGCCGACTGATGTCGAAGGAGGAGGCAGACAAGGTGCGCGAGGCGATCGCGCGCGCAACGTCTGTAGAGGAGATCCGGAGATTGGAGCGGCAGCTCAGGGAGGGCTTCCTCCCGGGCATGGATTCCGTTGGCGCATGACTGTGACCCTGTACGATGAATGTATAATTGGTATTGATCTCTGTTGTGCTACCGCCTCTCATCCTGCGCTCAAGCCTGGGTCTGCAGTTCGTATTCCAATCCGATGTCATCGCGGTCAAGCAACATATAGGGTAAGTTAACAGACACTAGAGGACAACGGTCAGAAAAGGGTCTTGATACCCGCGCCGACGTTTCCGATCCAGAGGCCGTGGAACAACAGAGCGAGGAATGCGGTCAAGTTGGCGAGGGAGCTTATGCCATGGAGCTTGGCGAAAGTTTTGTTCAATGCCTTCATCTCGTCAGAGACCTGTTTCAATCATCGAGGCGCATCAGTACTTGCACGGAAAGCCGTCTAGAAGTACGTACTCCAGGCTCATTGTAGGATTTGCCCTCCTGCTTCTCCAGCCTGTGGCGCTGGAACATTGTCCTGTAACGGCGCAGATGTTAACAATTCTGCTCTTCGCAGAAGGTGCTACCTTCGCTCACTTGCTCGTAAGAGGCCCGATGATATAGTGGTTGACCACTTGGCTCAGCAAGACCGACACCAAGGCGTAGGCCTGCGCGACATCCCCGCGTGAGGGGCTCAGGTAGTGCGTGCGCACCGCCGGGTGGCTGTATGTCCAGAGCCCGAGAAGGCCAGTGGAGAGCAAGATGCTAATAACAAAGTAGATGGGGAATGTGCGGTGCTGCAGCGTCCCGAACTGCTGGCGGGGGAGGGTGCGGTGGGCGATGGTACCTAGACAACGTGTTTAGGTCGTGCAGCAACAGCGGCACTCGCAACGTTCATGTACCTCCGATGAAGGTCACCCAAAGACCTGCGGACGCATCTTAGCTCCAACGATACATTCACAGATGGGGGCAGGGGACTTACTCATCCCAAACAACCATGAGTACCCAACCTGGTACAGGCCCTGCGCATTGAATAACCCGAGAACTGTGGACCACGAGATCGTCGAGACGTGCGACATTGTTGTAAACGTATGACTGTGCGGGGATCTTGGGGGATTCGTGAGGGGGCACGAGAGATATGTACATGCAAGGCAGAGGTGTTTTGTGCGCAAGGAGCCTGGGAAGGTGGAAGCAAGTACGTAGCAATCCAGCCACCGGAAGCACATTCGTGCGATCCAGACGCGTGTGCGATCGACGAGTTCACGCTCACGTGTGCAATTCGCTAGTGGCCTCGCCGGAACCCGCAGCAGAAGAGTAGCCGGATCGCAGGCCCACATCCGCCGTGTTCTCATGCAATCAGCATGCATTACAGGACAAGGCTAGGGAACGCCGGGCATACGCCGGAAACGAGACTCAGAGAGACGGGCAGTTGATTTAAGATATGCGCGACAGCGATTGCTAGTACACAGAACAACGGATGATACATGGTCAAAAACACACAGCGGAGGAATGGTTAACCAGACTTGCACATGCCGCTTGAGGAGCGACTATGTGGATCACAAGCTCGGAAGATGGTGTGTAGCAATGCATGACTCAATGGAAGCGGTCAAAATCCGACGGTCGTCCCATCATGCCCCGTCGCCGCCCACCCACACCGGGGCGATCTTCTCTCGAAGAGATGAGGACGACATGCTTATCCACAAGCTACGCGAGCGGGTCAGCCGATGATGATTCTGCAGTAAGATATGCGCTTACGTCATTAAGTAGGTTAGCGGACTTCGTCAGGGTCGCCAAGTATGCCGTGAGTTGGACATCCTCATATTCCTACACCCAGTGTCGGTAAGCACGGGGAAGCTAGACATAGTTCAAAAAACGCACGGTGTCAAACTCTTCTCGGAACTCTTTGTTCTCACTGGCGGGCAGTGATGCGATCAGAGCCGCGAGAGCACGGAGCGTTGCATGGTCCTTGACGGCAGAGCCTGACGAATTCCATGTCAAACGCGGAGAAGTATGACAAGTCTCAAGACCACTGACCGGCAATCGCATCGGACACGTACTTCACCAGGAGTAGTATGCGGTCATGGAGCATTTTAACAGCGGCGCGTTGAGTCTGCAGATGAGATTCCACTGCAACGCTTGCATGAGATTAGTGGTATTACTTGCACATGAGATCACACGCACAACTTGTTCCTCCTGACCCTCCCTTGGCTGTCCAATCAACCGCAATGCGTTCCGCCTCGCCGGTCTCGACGTTGAATGGCGCTTCGATGAATACCGAGCGGGACTTGCGATCACGAATCTCTAGCGTAGGCTCGTATGCTTTCAATGGTAGACTTTGGCCTGAAGCATCAGCAGACGCGGCAAAGACGGTGGACGGTTGGAGGATGAGAAGGAGAGGCGTGGAGCTGTATGCTGTGAACTGAATGCAGCTTCAGGTGACATGCAACCTAGAGAGAATGGCAAACGTACCTGATCATGTAGAGCAATGTGCTGAGACGTAGGCCGCTCCGCTACCGTGTACCAACCGATGAACTCGAGGGATGGGAACACTTGTTTGTCTGCAGAAGGTTGGTGATATAGCCATGACAAGTGAAGAAACGGAGCATCGCACGCACATTGATCTTTACGAGCCAAAAGGAATCCCTGATCCACTGTTACGCCATCATCCTCCACTGCGAGCTCGAAGGTGTTCACGATCTCCACATCCCGTCCTGTCTGCGTCCCAAGTAACGCTCCAAGTACTACAAGTATAATGATCAGCTCCCACTCATACATGCCAGAGCAAGGTAGGCCCACCGAAAGGGACTTTTGTCCGTGTCTGAAGTCGTAGCCGAGTGAGATGCTCGGAGATATTGAGGATAGGAAGCGGGTGGCTGATATGTACGCGTCAGTGGCGGGAGCTGCACATGTGCAAGCTCTAATACCGACAGCGCTATCGACAAGCCAGATGTTGTAGTTGACGGAAGCACGACGGGGAGCTCATCAGTGTCCATAGAAGCCATCGTGGAGGTCGTCAGAAGAAATGCAATGCAGACCCGGACGGCCACCACAGTGTTCCTTGGGTTACGGTAAGCGCACCGTGTAGCATCCTACGCCAAAAATAGGGCTTTCCCATTAGCCGACTCGAACGACTGACCTCGTCATAGCCACATCATTGCACTCGGAGAGCAACTCGGTACTAGTGACGCGCTCTACCAACTGAGCTAAACGGGAAGTGACAGTATGTATAAGCAAGTCATTACATGAATTTTGTCATCAAAACGCGTGGGGACCTGCCCTAAGGCTCATTGAGCCTGAACGCGTCGCGTCAAGTTGCTCGCCTCACGCTCAGTCCACGCGTGTCTCATCCTCCTCCTTCGACCTTTCCTCCGTTTTGTTTGCTGCTATGTCTGGATTCGACCCCGATCGCGTATACTCTGTGGCCGTTCATGATGCACCTGAACCGACTGCGCCCGAACTCCCTTCTCAAACTGAGAAGCTGCTGTTAGACTTTCTGCTGCAGTACCGCGTCGGCGGGGATTTCATCTACAGGTACGGGTTTTAGGACGCGTCTATCCAATACAGACGTTCATCCAGATAAACAGAGATAAGCTCCGAGCCAATCTCTTGTTGAAGCAATACCAAGTCGAGGTTGATCTTCGTCATGTCGGTCTCTACAACGACGAACTCGCACATATCATCCAGGAGAAACCGGGTGAGATCTTGCCATTGGTGCGTCCGCGTACAGAGATATTTGCTGTGGTCGCATCGATGTTGACGTACCGTTCTGTGACTTCAGTTTGAGTCTGCGGCTGCCAAGGCCGCACGAACCATCCTCTTCCCTCTGTCCAGTAACTCCGAGGCTGCACAGCAATCAATACCAAACGTCCAAGTCCTCGTCAAGTCAGGATTGAACCTCCAGCAATTCCGCGACCTAACCGCTGATACCATGAACAAACTCGTTCGGATACCTGGAATTGTCATCTCTGCTTCTGTCCTCTCGGCCCGTGCCACGAAGCTACACCTCCAATGTCGCGCGTGCCGCTCGACCAAAATCATCTACCCTCCCAGCGGCCTCGGTGGCTTGGGCGGTGGCTCTGATAGAGGGTTACCTCGTGTCTGTGATGCGCCCGAGCTGGAGAACCAGAAGAAGGACTGCCCGCTCGACCCGTACCTCATCATTCATTCCAAGTCCTCATTCACAGATCACCAAACACTCAAGCTCCAAGAAGCACCTGATATGGTACCGGTTGGAGAGCTGCCGCGACATATGCTTCTGTCTGCCGACAGGCATCTCACCGGACAAGTAGTTCCCGGCTCGCGGGTCATTGCGACCGGTATCTACTCGACATTCCAGTCCGCTAAGAACGTAAGCGCCGATCTAGTGCAAAGTGTGAACAGATAGCTGACTCTTCATCAGCGTTCCAAGGGTGCGGCTGCACTACGAGACCCGTACCTGCGCCTCGTCCATCTTGAGGTGTCTTCGCCGGCAGCCGGCGGTGCGGGAGGCGCGAATCCTTTCGGCGCACAGTTCACACCGGAGGAAGAAGAGGAATTCGGCGAAATGGCGCGTAGTGACGGCTTCTACGAACGATTTGCAAAGAGCGTTGCCCCCAGTATCTATGGCAGTCTAGGTCGGTGCATTTGGACTGAAGTTCGACTGTGTTGCTGATATTATGCGGACCCAAAAGACATAAAGAAGGCTATTACGTGTCTGCTGGTAGGAGGTTCGAAGAAGATATTGCCGGACGGTATGCGGCTACGAGGAGACATCAACGTGCTTCTTCTGGGTGACCCCGGTACTGCGAAGAGTCAGCTGCTGAAGTTCGTCGAGAAGGTATGTCTATGGGTCTGGGTTGCATGACCATACCTAATGCTGTTATGAAGGTCGCGCCCATCGCCGTGTATACCTCTGGAAAGGGTTCCAGTGCGGCTGGTCTGACGGCATCTGTCCAACGTGACTCAGTCTCTGTCAGTGAACCAATCCCACTCAATACGTCACACATTGACCTTCTTGCAGCGGGAATTCTACTTGGAGGGTGGTGCCATGGTCCTTGCGGACACGGGTGTTGTTTGCATCGACGAGTTCGACAAGATGCGTGACGAGGACCGTGTCGCGATCCACGAAGCGATGGAACAGCAGACCATATCCATCGCGAAGGCAGGTATCACCACCGTGTTGAACTCGCGCACAAGTGTCCTTGCTGCGGCGAACCCTGTCTGGGGTCGATACGACGAGGGACGAAGTCCTGGAGAGGTGTGTTCCTCGCGAGATTGTGGGCGCTGGAGGCGGGCACTTACGCACCGCAGAACATCGATTTTCAAACAACCATCTTGTCACGTTTCGACATGATCTTCATCGTCAAAGACGAACACAACGAGCAGCGCGATCGAGTGCGTCGGCGATGCTATCATGGCCTACTTGATCATGACTGACGCTTCCGCCTACAGATGATTGCCAAGCACGTTATGAATATCCACATGAACCGTCCGAACATCAGCGCGGACGAGAATGGCGAGGCGGTCGGCGAGATTGACATCGACAAGATGAAACGGTTCATCGCATACTGCAAATCGTGAGTTCACTGCATTAGTGTACTGCGCGGTAGAATTGACGACCGTTCGTAGAAAATGCGCACCACGTCTGTCAGCAGAGGCGCAGGAGATGCTGAGCAGCCATTTTGTCTCGCTACGGAAGCAGGTGCAGCAGGTTGAGCAGGACAACGATGAGCGAAGCTCTATTCCCATCACAATCCGGTGAGATGAGTCCACAGTGGCCCCGGTGGAGTCGTGTGCTAACCAGCCCGCTCGTTCGTCAGTCAACTGGAGGCTATCATCCGTATCTCCGAGTCCCTCGCGAAGCTGACGCTCTCGCCGGTGGTGAAGAACCACCATGTGGAGGAAGCTATCCGGCTCTTCAAATTCTCCACGATGGACGCCGTCTCAGCAGGTTCCGCCGACGGTCTGTCGCGCGGCGCCCTAAATGAGGAGATGACGAGGATCGAGAAGGAGATCCGCCGGCGGCTACCCATCGGCTGGAGCACAAGCTACCAGAGCCTGGTCCGCGAGTTCGTCACGCAGCAAGGTTACTCGAGCCATGCACTAGAACGCACGCTGTTCATCCTGGAGAAGCGTGAGATTATCCGGTTCTCGGGGCAGAAGAAGGTTGTCCATCGGTCAGTCCAGCTTCTTGCGCGCCTGTTCCAGGAAATACTGACACAACTCCAGTGTCGGCGTGTAGTCTCATCTCGGTTGTCCTATCGGTCTGGTTGTCCGCTTGTTTTCATTGCATTGGGGTTCATCATGTAGCTGTATCTCGACGCTGTGCGTGATGTATGTTGTATAAAGGCATCCCGGAGGGACGTCTCACCGACTCGGTCGATCATGGCAGTGCTTCGCAGGGACCAGCAGGGGCGGGCTCGTACGATGCAGGGCGACTTCAGCTGCACGGCCGGCAAGAGCATACGGGGCGAGAGTGCGTTATGGGTAGTCCAGCGACACATAGTACCCAGGTCCACGGAGGTAGGCTGCCCATAGGCAGGAAACCCGGTCTACTCGATTGTGCGGGGGGTGTGCATGTCAGGGTCGAGTCTCCGGGGCGGGAAGTTCTGCAGCGGCTCCCTGCACGCGACGCAACGCAGAACGCACGGCTCAGCCACCAGCGACACACGCTCAGAACGCGCCAGCGACCGAAGCACTCACGTCCTGGCGTCCCACACGTCCTCGCTGCTCTTCTGCGCCCGCCGGCGCGCCCACCACTCCGCGCGGCGGCGGATCCACACGTCCCGCTTCTCCTCAGGGTGCATGCCCTTGAGGCTCATGCAGAACTTGAACTCCTCGAGCTTCGGCGAGCACGTCGCCATCTCCCCGTACCGGTACAACGACCGCGCCTGCGAGCTAATAACTAGATTTCCTTGTCTTTCAGCCCTCCGGTAAATATGCAGGCCGACGAGAGTACTCGCCATTGCAGAGCAGGAAATCATCGAACAGTTTCATGCAGCCGGGGATGTCCTCTGGAGTCGGGTGAACTTTACGAAGGTACTCTTCCTCTTGTCTGACAATCTCCGGGCTTGGAGTTTCTTCAGTTGACATCCTTCAAGCTATGATCGTTGGCAACCCTGGCAGCCGGTCCCCAAGATTTATCCAAGTTACGCAAGTGTTGAGTAGCAAGTCAGAGAGAGCGCCTTGGGTGAGCATGGTGCTCGACGTGCTATGTCCATTTCCCGTCAAATAGTGAGCCATTTATATATGCTTATGAGCTTCTCCTCGCATTGCCCGCCTAGCTCAATCGGATAGAGCGTCAGACTCTTACTAGCGGGTGATCTGAAGGCTGCGAGTTCGACCCTCGCGGTGGGCTAGTTGCTTTTTTGCTCACGTAACAAGTTTTTGCGTGTAGTCCTATCAATTTGGCAGAGCCATCGTACGATCACACGCGGCGGGAAGAAGCATGGGGGATGCAAATCTGAAGGTGTTGTGTAGAAAACATACAGGAAGTACTTCACACGACAACTTCGCCCACTGCAGCCGTCGTTGCCGCTATGCGAGTGAGACGCCTGCAGCGTATCAGAAAGCCACCTTTGATACCAGACCGTCCAACTCGCGCTCCCAAGCACGGTGTTTGCTGATTTCATACGCGAAGTTGGAGACGAAGCCTCGCTCGCTCTGTTGAATCTTCAACGTATCCGCAACGGCTGAATCGACATCGTATCTGCCCGCGGTGACGACGCCATACGAGTTGGTGACGTGGTCGCTATTGGGGTCCGACGCAAACTGGATGCCTGGAAGCTGCGCGGCCTCCTTGAGGAACGCAATACCTGTGTTACGAGGTTCAGATCCACAAGGACAGATGGGTATACAATCACGCCTCACCTTCACCGAGCGCGCCGATGGGCTTACAGTGACCGAAGGCCTCCCGCACCCAGTGCACCGTACGACCCGACTCCGCCAACGCTTGCGCGTGTTTGGCCCCGCTTGGGACAACTATTGCGTCGAACATCGTGCTACGCTGACCCTCGTAGTGGTGGTCGGCGCTGTAGCCCTTGCCTGAACCAACATGCTCACCCGCGGGATAAACGGGCCCGCGACGAGGACCGATGATCCAGGTAGTAGCACTGCCGGCCTTGAACGCGGCACGCAGTGCTTCAACTTCGCCGAGGTTGAATCCATCAGCGAGGAGGAAGGCAATCCGGCGCGATTTGATGGTGGGCTCTTTGGGGGCGAAGGCGAGCTGGGAG